TTTATACCCCAAATTTGACCCGGAAGTCCATTTGGAGGATTTGACCTTTTTACTTGACCAAAGTGTGCCAAAATGGTAGCCTAGATTTTGCCCCTCCATGAAGGAAAAATCTGGCCCTCATTCAAACCATTGAGATTGAGCAAAACTTTGCGTATCGTGCTTTGTTCTTACAATATTCATTATGATATATATAAGTTGTACACTGAGACAAAACTGTACTAAATGAGAAAGGTGCACCATTATGAAAGTGGAACGAACTCAGTTGCCTTAAAAGGGTGTCCCCTGGTAGTTTGAGCATGTGTGGCCTAAATAAGCTAAACCCCCCTCCCTTACCTTATTTAGGCCATATGTGGCCCAAATAAGCACTCCTTAGTAAGAATGAGGAAATACAAAGCAGCAGTCCCCCCTATGTTATTGCGGCGCAGTATGAATCATGAGCATGCCATTGATAAATCAGCCTGTTTTTACAATTCTACTGTGCATTAGAAAATGTACAGTTAACATCCCTCCTGTGGGAATGGCCTCCTAAAGACAACTTCAGTCAGTAGCACTGCCATGGTGGGGTAACTCTCTCCCTTTATACTGTCACTGTCAGTTACATACGGCGGAGAGCAGTCGGCGCCACGCTTGCCTGTCCCTGGCCACGTTCTCCAATTTCGGCACATCCAGGCTCTGGGTGATTGCCTCATCCCTTCTTAGTCTTACTCTTACTGTGCCTCTTTCGCTTACATTTGGACTTCCTCGTTTTCTTTTTTTCAGTTGGTCTCCAATAATCATGTCTGATGAAATAGCAATCTTGTCTTCGGCATTATTAAAACAGGTCATATGATTCCCATCTTTTTACGGTTGTGTTGATATTATCAATTCCAGCTCTTTCCAACACTTCATTAATTGTAATCTAAACGGCAATGTTACATGTATTGGCAATAACAGGAACTCATCGGAGCCCATTCGGTTATAGCAGCGACAAAGGCTCATTAACAATGTGTAATGAGAGAGAGAGAGAGAGAGAGAGAGAGAGAGAGAGAGAGAGAGAGAGAGAAAGAGAGAGAGAGAGAGCAATCCCCAAGGGCCAGAACACGGAATTTGCGCAGAAAATGAGAAATCCCCACGGGCCAGAAGACGCAGGCTAGGCGGGGCACTTACACTACTTACAGTACGCCCCTCTCTCGCCTTGCTGCGCGATGGACTCATTCAACAGCGGCGTCCGCCATGTTTTTTTTGGCAAGCTGTGTGAATGAGTTCATGCTAAAGCAATAGGCTAGGCATGTTTTCTCTCTCTCTCTCTCTCTCTCATACGTGATAGGCGAGGCTTGGTCCGTGTCGATTTTTTTTTTTTTTACATGGGTGCCGTGGCGTACTAGATCTAGATCTATTTAATAATATAATCTAAATTACTAAATAGAAATAATGCAGCGTTCTTTCTACAACTAGATCTACAAATAAATGTGCTATTAATAATCGGGAATCTTCGGTTACCGAAAATAAAACGGAACCGCCCACCTCTAATCTGGAAATTGGGGGGAGTGTCTACGTACTCCCCGATTGGGGTCTACATAGTCATGGTATCTAGGTGGACCCCAAAAATGTTGGATTGTGATTGGCTCGCTGAGCGAGCGGTAGTTTACATTGGTTACAATGCAAGGCTGCTAGGCCTAGGGTAGTATGTCTATCTTGTGTTACTAGATCTATAATTAATTGATTTAGCCAAGAAAGAGAGAGAGAGAGAGAGAGAGAGAGAGAGAGAGAGAGAGAGAGAGAGAGAGAGAGAGAGAGAGAGAGTATTTAATGAATAATAAACGTATCTCTCTAGATCTAGAATCTAGATCTAGATTTTGTTTTGTACCCAGCCAAGAGTGTGCTGTTCGGTCTAGATTTAGATTCTAGATCTGTAGATCTAGATCTAGTAGTGGCCTGGTGGGCGAATGACCGAAGGGCGACTCTCGACTTCTTGCCTGTGAATTGGTGGAACACACTAGGCCTATCATGCAACTTTGATTCATACAAGGGACTGGACGAGAAGGCCAGATAGTGCCCACTACAGCTGGATCGGGCCGATCGCCTAAAACTGAAAACAAAACATGTTTGTTTTTGAGGCATCGGCCGATCCCGTCCGTAGTGGGCACCCCGTAGCCTATTAATCTCGGGACTGGAACTAGTCGATTCCAGGGGGCGGTCATTTTGGCAAAATGCTAACGAAAGGCTCATGCTCTTTTACAATGTGGAAATTCCTCAATCTCAAACATCATTTTCACAAGTAAAATTTTTAAAAAAAAATCTTGGTTATTTATCTAGCCAAGAATAAGTTATTTTGTTAAAAAGTATTTGTATATATAAAGAATTTATAATAGAAATGAAACCTCATCACATTGTGTTTGTTAACACAGATACTTATACTTATACAGCTGCCGAGGCCTACATAAAAAAAAAAAAGAATTTCACTGGGAAATCAAAATAAAACAAAGCGATGCACATGTAGAATGCATGTCACAGGAAAGGCTAACTGGGGTAAGCTGTTAAATCTATGGATTCTGGAATGCCTTTGGTTATAATTATTATTAGTACATCAAAGTATGAACAACAATAAAAAAGAACAATTGAATAATACATTGTACTAGACTTTATGACTATGAGTATGAGATCCCTTCAATAAAGTAGGCCTAATGTTAATTAGAGAAAAGCATAAAATTGAGAGGAAGAAAAACTTAACAATTTCTTTACTTAGTGGTCACTAGATCTATTATAATTTATAACTTTGTTGTCTATACTGTACAAGTGAATGTGATGCATGTGTCTGTTGTTGATGTTATAGTTCTATGCCACTCATAATATTATTAGAGCTATGTTGATTAAATTATCACATTATTCTTCACAAATAATATTATTAGAGGCTATTATTATTCTATGACTTGAAAGATACTGTTTTTGCAGCTTTTGTAACTCTTAAGTTGCTGCTGGGATGGCATTTTTCTGTCAAGTAGATCTAAATGTGGTTCTGCCTGAGCACATACGGCCACATTCCTTTTCTTGGCAGGTTTGACAGTTTCTTCAATGCTTTACTACAAATAAAAACAAGTCATCTGCAATTTACAAGCATTGTAACAAACTCAAACCAACTTCATCCCACATCCAAAATACAAATAATATAATTCAAGCCCTTTTGATTCTGGTAAAGGAAACTGAAAGGGTGATGTTTAGTATTATTCAGCTGCTAAATCAGGAGTGTTGAAAACCTTTTCATAGAGGAAAATTAAGCAGCCACATACATCAGTGGGTACTTGCTTAGGAAAGTGTCTCCAGTTATATGTGACAAGTGTAAGACTTTTAGTTACACCAAATAGTATCTTGTCTGTCATAATCACACCCGCCTTTTTTGTCCGTCATCATAACAAGGCCGACAAAAATTTTGAAGGATACAGTCTTGGCAAAGGCAAAATTGATTTTCTTCTTGCTTTACTGTAGTCAGCTAATAAGTTCAAATACAATACATGTATCATGATTGAACAGATTCAGATCAGATGTTTAAAATTAGCCACTGTCAAAATTAGAAAAATTGAAAGATTGGTTGCTGTCGGGTTTGACTGGTTACAGACACAAAGCATGGGGTACCGTATTTAGAAATGACTCATTTGATATAAGATATGGTGTCCAGCTCATGTCTATTCCCAATAGTTCTAGCGGTCCAGGGGATGAACGTTGCAGAGATACAAACACGTCAGTCTTTTTCCCCCTCGGCAACTGATCATTATTACAATGATAGTCTTGACGTAGAGACATCTACGAAATGAATTGTGCGCTGGTCTATGGAATCAAAAGTTGTCGTATGCTAGGCTCTATACATCAACACAACTTTTTGGTAAACAATCGAGATGACACAGGCGTGTGCATTTGAACGAATCGGTCTTTTATTTTTACACGCTCATAAAATGCAGACATTTCAGGCTCTACTTGTGACTTCTCTTTATACTATACATTACTTGCTCAGTGCCTGTAATTATCTACACAAAACCTTGTGTTTGCTATAACGAGCACTCGGATTCAACGAAATTTTAGGTCAGGCCCAGCGACCTCGTTGAATCCGAGTTCCACTGTAATTAAAAAAAAACATTTTTATTCCACGAATTTTCACTGAAATTTTCCCATAATTTGGAGTAATTCTGCTAATTTGTGGAAGCACTGTGTAATTCTAATAACTTGTCTCCCTTCTTTTCTTTAGCCGTAGTCACGTTCATCGAGAAGTTGGACTCAACGAGGACAACAAGCCGGTCCCGGCAACCTCGCTGAATGCGACACCCACTGTGTACTATGAACACGGGCCACCAAACTAAATGCAAAGAAAGAAATAATCAACAAAAGTCCAGGTTTGTCAAGAAGCAGCAACTGTATTCAATTCCATTTTGATTCAACAGCAGCTTACATCAACAAAACAAAATGTATTAAACCAATTAGAAAAATAAGTCAGCAAGGACAGGTGAACACTTAAAAATTACGGGTTCTAAAAATGCAACAACTTTAATTAATCCATCCAAACGAAGAAGACAATAAAACACTTCAGCGAGAAATGATTATTTTTCTTGGGAAATAACCGGAACCAGATAGTCCCCAAGCTTTAGAAAGGGTGGATTATAACCCCCAACCTACCAGATTGAATTTAGACAAGTTGAGGCCCAGAAAAGCCTTTAAAGCTAAACATAAAATACTTACCAAATCAATACTTACTCTTGATGCATACTGTCGACAGTATTCGAGGATCCCAATCCTTTTGTTCCTAGAAGGCATTGTGCTTAACATCCTATGCATACAAATGTGAGAGAGGGCAAAGTGGGTCAGTGTGGCAGCAAAGCCACCAAATCCCGCGGAGAAGGGGGCGCGTCCTTTGCATTCCTAGCCGTACTACTGAATTCGACTCGATAAGATTTGAAGGCGACATAACAGCCGCCAGCAAAAGGGTTCCAAAATACATTTTAACCTCCTCGGTTCTGCAGCCATTGTTTGTATTTCCACATTAAAAAAAAAAGTTTCATGACCTCCATAAGCTGAGGGCACAAAATTGATCACATCCGTCAATACCTATACCAATTAGAATCCACACTATTTATATAATTTTTTTTGTTCAATACGGTGCATATTTTCCCCCATAAACTGGAAGACAAAATGAAAATCGGAAGGAACTTTATATAAAGTGATAGGAAGAGTTAGAAAATTCAAGGGGCAGTTATAAAAGTGCACCCCCTCCCTCCTTCCGATAACCAAAATCCTCTTCCCATTTTATATTGTGCCAGTGTGGCCGAGAATCTCGATTTTGATAAAGATCGCATTAACCCATGGTACCTGTACTGTATACTGTATGGAATGGAATCTCGACTTAGTGACCAAACCAACCCACTCCCAAGTCCTACTCGCAACCCATAAAAAAGTCTCCATCGTTGAGTTTTCCAACGGACTCGTAAATCCGAATATTCCACGACAAAGCATCCTTTCCAATTTGCAAAACAAGGGATGGTTTCAGCCTTCTGGCAGTGTTTCCAGGCATTGCTTTGCAAGTCTCCAAGCAAAAAAGATCCATTGCTAGGTGTCTACATAGAAAAAATGTTGCATGTGATTCATGCTTATTCAAATTACATGCTCATTCCTTCAGATCCCATGATTTCTTTATCCATTCCTTCCAATGATCCTAGTCCGTGTTTGTTCCGATTTCCATTCCCAATTCAGAGTCCAATGCATCCTCCTTCCAATTTATCCATTCCAAATCCATAATGCCTATAATCCAAATCCAATCCATTTCCTTTAGCCTTAGATTCCTTCCCTTCCAATCTTTTCCAATCCTTATCCATTTATGCATGAAACTATGAGAAGGAAAAAATGGAAAGAGAAAGTGTTAGAATGGCATCAAATAAACCTTTCACATTGTTCGTCCTACTTTCAAAAGTTGACAAGAGTAGCAAAACCAGAGAATATCTCAAATGAATAAGGACACATAACTAAAAATGTATGACAACATGGTGATCTATTCCAAAATCAAGCCGATATGGAGTTCATTAAAAAAAAAAAAGTAGGGATGCACAAAACACATTAAAAAGTTCAATAACATGAACAATAAAATGAAATGCAGTGCATGAGCAATGGTCAAAAATGTAATATTGGGGAAAAATTGACACAATGTCACAGAGAGCAAAGGTTACACATTTCTAAAGTACGGCCCCTTTCCTAAGACATTATACAAGCTTGCCCTTCAAGACTGTGCACGACAGACTTTCAAAATAAACCTATTTCCAAAAAAATATGCTTGGAGCTCCTAAATGCATGGATGACAGCTTGATGGAGAGCAATACAGACCCATGAAACAATTGTGACGAGTATAAAAAAAATGGTTAAAAACAATAAAACAAAACAAAAAAACAATCCCCCCCAGATCATGGAATCCCCCCATCCTACATCATACCATTGAGGCATTCATCCTCCGATAACGTAACGACAAAATAAGGAGCCACCGATGGACGGGAGGGAGAGAGGAAGCAAGGAGACCAGACAAGGCCGCATCCTCCTCGACCACTTTAGCCCTTCCCTTGACCTCTTCCATCCATCCGACTCCAGCGCTCCATCTCCTCTGGACGGTCTCCCATCCTGACCAGAGACGTTTTAGGAGCGTTCTGAGGAGTGAGAGGAGGCGACACCATGAGAGGGGTCTACTACACTAAACAAACAATATTAAGATTCATTCCCAGTGCTTTAGAATGGTGCTCTACGGTTTATAAACAAATTGATTTCACACTTGTAACAAGAGTATATCTGATGCCAACACACCAAACTTTGAAAAACAACAACAACCAAACAAAAAGCCCCCCAACAACTACCCAATAAAACTGAATTTTTGTTTTTTCACTTCCTTTCATCAGAAAATCTCGACGAGCACAATGGTAATTTCTTTCCAGATGGTAAAACAGAACTTGCATGAAACTGATACAAACCTAAACAAATAAAAAGTAAATTAAAAAACCCAACCCACTTTTTCCAAAGTTAAGTTTGATAAATATTTTCCCACAAGAATACTCCTGAGTTTACAATGATTACTTTACTCAACACATTACACTTTAACACGCCCCGCGAATTTCCTTACGCGCTCCACCCTGACTAGCCTGCGCCGACCTAGCGTCTTTAGAAACGAGGTTACGCCTTGAAGAGACTCTGCAGCCGAGATTTTGATGTGTATAGTTATTGGAAAAAGTTTCGTCTTCCGTTTGATAATGAAACAAAATTTTTCGGGCCAGTAGTTTTAGTATTAGAGCCAATCAAAGTGCGATCGCGTTACCGACACTTCAAAGGTGCCTCGACTTGTTGAAAAGCGACACAATTGAGTTAAAAAAAAAAAGGAAATAACGATGGATTTGAGCAAAAACATGCATGACAAATCAGATGACTCAGATTTTGATGAAAATGTTGTAGCAAGAATTTGGGGCGATTCAGATTGATCAGATGTAGAAAATCTAGATTTTAGATCTAGGGCCCGGACTGCAAGGCTGAGAGAGAGAGAGAGAGAGTGACGGGTCGGGGTCGGACACCCCGGTTGAACTAAAGTTAGAACACTTCCAACAGTTTGCGCATACATAGTTATATTTTTCAGAAACTACATTATTTTTCTTTTTTAACTTTTTATTTCTTTCAGGATTTTGGGAATTCGTTTAGATCTTTAAAATGTGTTTTTAAACACCTTTATTCACGGGAGGGGGGTTCCTTCCCCTTGCTTACGATCTAGGAATGGACTTCCTGTCCAGACCATTAGGGTGTAATATGTTAAAGTATCAGAGTAGGAGAAAAAAAAGAACACTATTTGTTTGCTTAAAACATGCAAAAGCAGACAAGCCTACAAGCAATTTATGAGCAGCTGGTAGTACACGGGGGAGGAAACAAAAAACCCCCTTCACTTTCAAATTTCCCATGACAAAAACAAGCCCCTAAAAAAATCTGACTAGAACTTGACAGTTAATAGCATTCATAAAAAATACTAGCAATTTAAATCTACTCCACCAATTTTTGTTTTTAGACCCATAAAAGAAAAATGAATCTACTCTGCAAACACCATGAAAGCTGTAAGGCCAAAAAAATGTCTACTGCATGAAAAGAGAAGTGATGGAATGATCATTTGACTGCTGCTTATGACAGACATATAACACCCTTTTGTCATTGAAAACGAAAAAACAAACAACCCCCCCAAAAAATAAAACCCCTAAATCAAACCCACCCCCAAGTGTACAAAACATACTCTAAAAAACATTCCCATCAAAATCAGGAGAGAAAATATCCCCTGAATCATTTATAAGGAGAGTACGAACGCTCTCTATCTCTAATTGGAGAATATCTTGGGCTGCCTCTAGAGCGTCTTGGCGAGGGGCTGCGACTTCTGGACGAGCGGGGGTTGTCTTCCTTCACACGAATATATGCAACCTCACCCTGTGACGAAACAACACATGATATGCTCTTCATAACATCGGGTGTCATAAGTTTACATGCAATGAACCAAGAGTACAAAAATGATCTCTTTAAATTGAAGTTCCATGACGGGATTAAAGATTTTTACGCTATTGATTCAACACAAACTTTCTCTAAAACAGATGCACTGTAACCTGTGAAATCACAACATAAAAATAAGTATCCTACTACTGTTTATTTGATTATTTATAACAACCGGACATTCTCAAAAAGGAACAACAAAAGATAGAACAAGCACACTGGCTAATCATGGTTAAAAAACAATGGGGTAAAGAACAAATTTTAACCAAAGGATATCCATTTGTCTTAATCATAACCCATGCTGTGTGAAAGTTTTCTTTTGCAATTCGACAGGCACTTTATCAGTAAATTAAAGTACCCAATGAAACCCACGGTAATAAAAAACGAACAACAGTATAGACCTGCACCTGAAACTCAGCCAAGGCTAGTCCGGTCCACCAAATTGTTGGCGCCACAGATCACTCCCTGGGCAGCATTCTGGGCCTTGATGAATATGGGCACACACCTCCAAATCAAATGATAAGAGTTCTCCCGAAAAAGTCCAAGACTAGAACCTTGAAAAAAAACCCCCAAACAAACAAACCCATCCCCCCATTAATATTACATACCTCATGAGACCTAAACTTAGTGTCATCCAGTTTCCTGACAGCATACTTCATGTCTTCTTTGCGTAGAAACTCTACAACACCTGTTCCGTCTTTGAACACATCTGCATAGCAAACATCGCCAGCTTCTCTCATGTGATCCTTCAAGTCCTGCCAACTGCCACTCGGAGGCAGCCCTTGAGACATGGGAAGAGTAAAAGATAAACCCTCAGCTAACCACCATTAGGCCTGCAGCATGACACCAAACATTTCTAATGAGTGACAGCTCCTACATAATCTCTACATTTTACACACTGGTGATCATAACTCAGACCTGCCACTCTATGAAATCTAAAAATCAGGATCTAAGAGTAAAAAAATCGGGATCAACGGCAAATCAGTCATAAGGGGCACTGGGGAATGGGGGTCCTGGTTCCCTTTTATGAGGCAAGTATGCAAGAGAAAACTTTTGCAGGGATAAGTTCATGTTTGGGCCCCTAAATAGAGAGAAAAGTGAAAGACAGCATACACGTACTCGAGTCGGAGTTGGATAGACTGGGGGAGCGCAGGCTGCAGTAAAGCTGAAACCCTTGTGGTTTTGAAAATAGCTGACACACAACCCTAATCATCCATGCTAAAAGCCCGCGTTTTCATACAGTAACAACGTTTGACTTCCATCGTATATACACTCAAGCCCCCCCCCCACCCCCGAAAAAAAAATCGCGCCAAGGTTGTTCATTTCTTTCCTTTTTCTTATTCTTTTATCCTCAATTAGTACCTGTATCACGGCACGCACAGCCCAAGTGTCAAAACAATACCCCCACCTCCTCCCCCGGTCAAGTCCTGAAAAACACCTCGACCAATGCGACCGGTGTGAACAAACTTTGTTGACCCCGGCAGCCGACGGTCCCCAGTAGATCTTGAGCGTATCCATGTCGGAATTCAAGATCGATGCTACGTCGGTTTAAGTTGAAATAACGTGAGAGAGTCAACTACTAGATTTGGTACAGATGCTTTAGAAAGTAGCATTCCAAGTTCCTGCCGATAAAAGGTCTAATCGATGCTTCCAAGCAAAAAAGATTGCAGGACTTTTCATCTTTTCCCCTAAGAATCGGACGCAACCACAAAAAATCAGGATACTGGCGATCGAAATCGGGAAAATCGGGATGCTTAAGATTTGTGGCAAAAAATCAGGATATTTATGAGTGGCAGGTCTGATAACTAAATCACCAAGTAAAAAAGAGAGCGACACACCAGAATGACTATGCACACAAGAAAGGTATTAGACGGCAGGGTGCAAAAAGTAAATTTGAGACACAAGGATCCAAAATTTAGAACTAGAGCAGAAGGGCATAAAAATAAAGGACAGCACACTAAAAATACATTTCAGAGTTAAGAGAGTAGACCACAGAGAAACATCAATTGTAGAAAAGAGAAATAAAATCATCCCTTCTTTTAATTAATCCCTCAAGATAAATAAACAAATCATCCTTTGACCCACAACGTAAAAGTGAAATTAACATTTTAAAAGTCCACTAAAGCAACGGGACAACAAAGATATCAAACACTGCAAAGCCAGGGCTTTAGCTCACTGACCATTCATCACTTTCTTCATCGCTTGGTTATGGTTGCTAGCTTTTGAAAGTACTGTACACAACAAGCAGTTTCTTTCAGAACCAGCAAGCAACAACCGTTACCAATAGCATGACGAATACAACTTACTTTAGCCTCCCAAATTTTCACTTAAAAATAGTTAACATGTCAGAAACAAAGAAAATCACGTATGAAAGCAGAATCAATTTCTGTATAATCAGAAAAACGACGCTCAATACGGCACTACTTTGCAAAAGCTCCACTAAGAAAACTTGATTAACCTACAGCAAGGTTCTTACAACATTTGAAAGGAACATGTAAAACATTTAACAAAACTACAATAATATCGACCCTCCAGGCACTCTGTGATCCTGCTCTAAACTAGAGAGGCATTCCTCCAACAGGTATGGACACAAACATTTGACAGACAAAGAACTGTGAAAAACAAAGTGACTATTCATACTCGAGTCCACATAGGCAAAAATTATATTCAGACTCTGAATTGGGTCCAGCATGACGGCCGTTCAGACTTCCGACCCCTTGTCCCTAGATATTTCCTGCATTTTAATAACTTTTTCCCCCTCGATTAAATGATAATCGAGACGTGAGCTTTAATATCCAGAAACTAGATCTATCTAAACTGGCCCCCCAGCATCATTAGAATAAACAGAACAAACCAATTGAGTTGACCTAGCCGTGGGGGGAGGGCCCAAAGTTAATTATGTAGACCAATGAGATTGCATGTAGCGATATCGCACCCTCGGCTCGCTGGGGGAAGAGGCCACGGCTGTCGGTTTTGTGTGAAGTGATTGAAAAAAAAAAAAAATTACAGAAAAACTATTAACCCACAACAAAATGAAATTAAACATGTGGAAAGACAAATGGTGGTGGAAGTAAAGATGAAGCTGTAGTGGTGGTGGGAAGACCCTGAGTTGTCAGTTACCGAGTACTTAGACACTACCATTGGGTAGATCTAATGAGAGTGCAAGCTTTTGACACAATTACACAGTCCCAGTAGGTAATTCTAGTTCCAATTCTGGTTTTACGTAAAATCCCCCGATGACAGTTATATTATTATATATATAACCTCCTTACAGTCACATTCTCACATAACTAACTTAGAAGCTGAGTCCGTATAAATAAAATTTTTTCGGACCCGAGTCTGAATAGAATAAACCCATATTCGGACTCAAATTGAGTCCGAATAGAGCTGGCCGTGAAAAAAAGGGAGGACTGCCGCAATGAGTGACCACTGTTAAACAGAGTAGAATAGTGGGTTGGGGTTAGGGGTAAGGTGAGGGGTTGGATTAGGTCTCTTCTTTCCTGTGTTGGGGTGGTAGCTCATTACTAAAGTCCTTCCTAAAAAAATCGATCTGGGAGAAATTTGAAACAAACCTGATACAAGAACTCTATACTGAGTCCGTCTTGATGGAGGACCCCCTCTGCCCCCTCCAAATCCTCCTCTTCCTCTAAAACCGCCTCTGCCCCCTCCCATTGCCCCACTGCCTCTTGGGAATTCGACACGTAATGTGTAACCATCATAGTTGTAGCCATCTCTCTGTCTCACAGAATCTTCTGCATCTCTGAAAATCAATAAGAAATATAATTTAGTAAATTTTGCAGACAACATTTATTAGAAATGAGACGAAAGCAGATGACAGAACATTGCTAGAGAGCTGGAAAGGGGGTGAAAATAGTTCAGGCGAGTCTTTTGGCTATTCTCACCCGGTGCGCGTTCACCGTTATAGCCTAGAATAGTAGATCTAGGCCAACCAATTTTGCGTTCACCCTAAACCACAGAATTCTACACTGTGATAACAGAAAAATTGTAGAATTCTGTGCCGTGAACAAACGGACCATTACTACTGTTAGC